AGTGAACTAAAATGGACGGGAATGGGCGAATTCAATTCAGACGATTATCATCTCTACTATTGCGGCCAAGAATCCCATAGAAGAAATGGAGTAGCCCTCATAGTCAACAAAAAGAGAAGGGGACGACAGAATGAGATGGTTGGACAGTGTCATCGAAGCTACCAAAATGAATTTGGCCAAACTCCGAGAATGCAATGGAAGACAGGAGGACCTGGAGTGCTCTGGTCCATGGGATCACAAAGAGTCGGGGATGACTTAACGACTAAACAACAACAACATAGATATGTTCACTTGGTTCAGGATCATTGACATAACCATACATGTAACGTAGGCCCTGTGTGCCTGAAAGCACTTGTGGATCCCATGCAGCCTGACTTTTAAGATCTTGTGCTTAAAAGCCTGTTGCAAATGATTGAGCCATAATTCTTGTTAGCAATGGCAGCTAGAGTAGACCAGCTAGTCAAGTGCTGAATGTTGTCAGCATTTATATAAATCCCAGCAATCTGGTGGTTATCTTTTAATTAGAAGTAGTAATATGATTTAAGCCTTAAGGATCTGTCTTTTAAATTGTTGCATGTGCATTTTGGGATAAAAATCTAGGACAGTTTCTGAAGATATGACACTGAAAATTTAGATTGAAATTTACAGTGAAATTTACTGTGAACTCTTTTTGGTTCCAGGATTGCTTCCCTCCTTCACAAACATTTGGATTTGTATAAACCATCTGAACTGGCCAGAGTGACATATATTATAACTACCCTACATTTTCCCTATCGTGACCTGTACTCCAAATTACAACAGTTGCTAATTGGGTAAGAAAGAACATTTTATTGCAAATACATTCCATTAAGCATGTTTGTTTCTTTATTCTGTTTATAGCTCCGCTTTCTTCAGTCACTGAGTCAAAGGCTTTGCATATCCTCCCATTCCAGCACCAGCCATTTTCAAAGCTGTTTAACTTTGCCAAAATTGTGACACATTTCTTCAGGACACTTTGCCTTTTTGTTCAAAGAACGCTTGAAAAGGTGACATAACTATCACTCAGATATCTATTTGCTACTGACCACTTACAATTTGTTAGAAATTAGGCAGGATCTAAGACTTCTACAGTAGATAAAAATAGAATATATCTACATGTGGCATGTGTTACTTTTGTAGAGTATGTGCCCTGCTGTGCTTCCCAAAGCAGTAACTAAGGGCCCTCTGATAGTGACTTTCAGAATATGAAAGATTATATACAGAGGGCAAACCCACAAAAGAAAGTGTGAGGAATTATGTTGAGAAAAATGTAGGGATCAGACTCGAGGGAGATAGAGATTTAATGGAATAGCCTGTAAGAAAGGAAGAAATAGAAGTAATTAACAAGTTAAAATGGGGCAAAATACCAGGAGCTGATGGGTTAGGACCAGAGAATAATGAGACATGCAGAACGATGCTGTTACCCAAATTAGAAACTGTCTATAATAATATAATGAAGGAAGATGCGATTCCAGCATCATGGAAGCATTCATTAATTATATTAATAGCAAAAAAGAATAAAGACTTAACGGACCTAGAAGCATATAGACCTATCTCTCTGTTTAATCAAAATGCAAAGGCATTTACTGCAATACTGGCAACCAGGATGAATAAATATATTGATAAGTACTGTATATTAAAGAGGATCAATGTGGCTTTGTAGTAGGGAAACAAATGGCCAATTTGCTGAGGAGTTTTAAATATCATACACATAATAGGAGGTTGTTCATGACTTTGTGTACCTTGGCTCAACGATCTCTGATACTCTTCCCTGGATAAACGCATTGGCAAAGTAGCTACCATGTTCTCTAGACTCACAAAGAAAGTATGGCTTAACAAGAAGCTGACAGCATATACCAACATCCAGGTCTATAGAACCTGTGTCCTGAGTACACTCCTGTACTGCAGTGATTCCTGGACCCTTTGTGCATGGCAGGAGATGAAGCTGAACACATTCCATATGTGTTCTCTCCGACGCATTTTTGGTATCATCTGGCAGGACAAAGTTCCAAAGAGAGCAGTCCTAGAACGAGCTGGAATGTTTAGCGTGTACACATTACTAAAACAGCAATGTCTACGTTGGCTTGGGCATGTTGTGAGAATGGCTGATGGTTGGATTCCAAAAGATCTCCTGTATGAAGAATTAGTGCAGGGAAATTGCCCCAGAGGGAGACCATAGCTGCGATACAAGGACATCAGCAAGCAGGATCTGAAGGCCTTAGGAATAGACCTCAACAGATGGGAAAGTTTGACATCTGAGTGTTGAGCCTGGAGGCAGGCGGTGCAGCATGGCTTCTCCCAATTTGAAGAGACACTTGTCCAGCAGGCCGAGGCAAAGAGGCAATCCCGAAAGCAGCAAAATCATGGAGCTGGACAGGGGACAGATTGTATTTGTCTTCAGTGTGGAAGGGATGGTCGCTCTCTAATTGTCCTTCTCAGCCACACTAGACGCTGTGAGCACGTTGCCATAGTCTCTCGAGACTGAAGGATGCCTAAACAATAGGAAAACAAAAGTTGAAAACTGGTATAATTTCATTAGATATTTTCAAGGCCTTTGACTACGTGGAATGGCCAACATTGAAAATCATAATTTAAATATTAGGATTTGGGCAAAATTTTAGAGGTGTCATAGGGCAATTATATTCATCAAACACTGCTTCTTCTTCATGGTCTCTGTGAATGCAACACTAGTGGTTTTAATCTGTGCCTGCGCAGAGGTCTCTGGAATATTCAAGAGCTTTAGATACGTTCGCCAGGGGTCGCCCCCCTAGTACACGTGGTCTGCCCATCTGGCAATTACCTCAGTCCTTTTTTGCCTTCGCTGAGGTTTCTCCTCTTGTCAAGCTCCGTTTGCCACTTGCTTCATTTCAGATATAATCAGCAAGGAGAGAATTGTAAGAGAATTTGAACTTATTTCTCCCTAAACGGACCGCCCCCTTTCCCCCTTCCTTGCCATTTATGGCACCTCTTCCCCCATTTAAAAAGTGCACCTCGTGCTCCAATAAGATTCCTCTCACAGACGGCCACATTCTTTGCCTCTTCTGCCTGGAAGACTCATCAATCATCCACTTGCCAGTTTTGTAAAAAGTTCACTAAACAGGCTCTTAAACTCAGACAACAGCGTCTTAGATCATTTATCTGGAAACGTTCTCTTCAACCAACTCAAACTATGGAATCTTCTCAAATTTCCTAGCCTCCTAAAGAATCTCCGGGATTACCAGCCGCTTCTCCAATTTCTAAGTCGATCCCAAGTCTAAACCTAAATCGACTTTGAAACCTAAGTCTTCGACTTCAGCAAAATCCACCCCACTACTGACTCCTCTCTCTCAACATCGGAGCGCCCTAAGCCTAAGACATCAAAGAAATCATCTTCCGACTCTCGGCACTCTAAACATACCTTGGTACTGGAGACGGTCCCTCTATCGGACCAGCCTACAGTTTGTCTTGACTCTCCAGATGAGACCTTCTTACCACCTTCTGGTCAACCACTACTTGCACAATCTCCATCTTCGGCAATCACCTCGGCTGAGGTCACTGTCATTTCTCAGTCGGCACTTTCGAGCCCCAAATCTACAGGTTGCTCCATATCTGTTGGTGATTCTGAGTCGCTGTCTGCTGTACCCAGCATATCACCCCCGCATGAGCAGCTAAGGAAGACTCATCATATGCCTGATACTTGCCATTCTGATGCCTATCCAATGCACCCCTTGAGTCCAACGGGGCCTTTGGCATCTTGAGAGCCTCTCTCTCGATCCAGCTACTCGAAGCAGGTTATGCTCTACGAACCCAGACTGTATTATGAGCCTCCACTTAAGCGCTCTTGGCATCGAGCTTATTGGTACTATCAGCCTGATACCGAGTTCTGCATTGAACCCAGATTTCTCTTGACATTGATATTATTATCTGTCTGACGTGTCTGATTCTTCACCTCCTTGATACCGGTTTCATGATTATTATTATACCTCGTCTGACAATGATACCGTACCGCCTCCTCCAGTACTGAAGTCCCACAGACCTTGTAAGAGGACCCATCCCGAGCCTCTCCAAGAACATCTCACGGTACCAAAATGATCCCGTGCTCTTGTTAAAGCTTCTTTGCTTACTGTAGAACCCACTACGCTCTCTAGGAGATGCACTTATGGCTGTTTGGACCACACACCTCATTTATCTCTTCCCACCCATCCCTCTTCTTCTCAGAACAATAGCCAAAATCCATCAAGATCGCTCCAACGGAATCCTCATTGTTCCCTGATGGCCCAGGCAACCGTGGTTCACCATGCTCAGAGCCATCTCCACATATTATCTCCCACTGCCTCTCATTCCTCACCACCTCTCTCAGCATCAAGGCAGGACTCACCACCTTGATCTCAACACTCAACCTTGATAAATACCATCTTGGCTAATGCCTGAAAACCTGCTACACGACACAACTTTATTCCTATAAATGGGCTGCTTTCATGAAATTTGCACTCCCACATCATCTTCCAACCTATCCAACTACTCTTGAGGCAGTCCTTGAGTTCCTGTCTCATCTTTTTCACAAACAACTCTCCGTCTCTACTCTCAAGGTTTATCTTTCGGCGATTATAGAGCATCAACCTCATGATTCCACTGCAGCTTTGCTCTTCTGTCATCCTATGTTAAAACTCTTCCTTAAAGGTGTCTCCAATATGCGACCTTCCGCACCTCCCCCACCTCCACAATGGTTGTTACATACTGTTCTTCAATGTCTTACCCGTTCCCTGTTTGAACCGCTTGCTACTACATCAGAGCACTTCCTCTCCCTGAAGGCTCTCTTCCTAGTAGCCATTACCTCCGCTCGCAGAGCTTCTGAACCAGCTGCTCTTTGAGTAGACCCTCCATTCCTCCAATTCCACCCAGATATGGTTACCATTTTTCCTGATGTTTCCTTTCTTCGAAAGATTGTATCGGACTTTCACCTCACCCAACCTATCATTCTACCTACCTTTTTTCCATCACCTACGACTGACCTCGAGCGATCCTTGCACACGTTGGATGTCAGATGAGCCTTTGCATTTTATATCTTATGGGCTTCCTCCTACCACAAATCCAAGAGACTTTTTGTGACTTCACACCTCCCTTGTAGAGGTTCTCGTATCTCAGCTCAAACTGTCCCCCGCTGGATTGTTACGACCATAAAGTTGGCATACCAGCTCGCCAAAAAGCCTCTGCCTACAGGCATTAAGGCTCATTCTACCAGGGGTCTAGCTACTTCCACGGCTTTCCTTCATGAAGTACCACTCCTGGACATTTGTAAAGCTGCTACTTGGGCAACACCATCCACATTTGCCACTCATTACTGCCTTGATGTCAGGGCCAAGTAAGATGCAGCGTTTGGTAGAGCTGTACTTTCTTCTGTTCTTCTGTGACGTCCCTCCTCTCCAGTCAGTCAACTTAATCACCTGTTCGTGTGCATTCACAGAGACCACGAAGAAGAAAGAGAGGTTGCTTACCTGTAACTCTAATTCTTCATGTGGTCATCTGAATTCACGCTTCCTGCCTGTCTTCCCCTCTGTCCGTAACGTCTATCTCACCTTTGATGCAGCAGCGGGCTGTTCTTCGGAACTGAGATAATTGCCACGATGGGTGGACCATGTGTACTAAGGAGGCAGTCCCTGGCGAACGTATCTAAAGTTCTAGAATATTCTGGAGACCTCTGCACAGGTGCAGATTAAACCCATTAGTGTGAATTCACAGATGGCCACTTGAAGAACCAGAGTTTGTGAATTTCATTGTATGTGTATATACTTACAATGACAATAAATTATTATTA